CACACACACACACACACACACACACACACACACACACACACACACACACCCCTTTAGTACCTCACCAGGGCCAGACTCTCTGTGCCTCACAGTTACTTCCTGAGAAACTAATTCATACTTCTGGAGAAAGCAGAGTATTAATGGTTAAGATCAGGGGCTTTGGATCCAGGAAGACTTGTGTTGGAATTTTGGTTTGGATACAAATTTTGTGACTGAGCAACTTGCTTAGCATTTTTGAGCATCATTCTTTTCCTTTGTAAAATGGGGATATCCATTCCTATTTTGGAGAGCAGTTGGAATAATTAACTGAGACATATCTACAGCATGTAGCACAGGCCTGGTTTACAGTAAGCACTGAATAAATAGAAGCAATTATTGACGTCTTATGCTAATAGGAAGACTTTTGACAAAATATTCCCTCCCCTCCCCTCCCTCCCTCTGCCTAATTCTGTCTTCTCTACCTGGTAAAATAACTTTTATAGAGAGAATGCCTTCTATTTTGATGCCCAGAATTCCAAATTAGGGGATTCTATTCATACAGTTCCAGCATAGGGGGAATTTTGGTGAACTAGCGACAGCAAAGATTGAGCAAGGAGAGGTGTTGACTTTAATTCCTGCTTGGCTGCTAACAAGTCAGGTGAGTTTGGGTAAGTCAGTATCCTTGGAGGGCCATCAATTTCTTCTTCTATAAAAGGGAGAGTTGGAATGACGTGGGCTTTTAAGTTCTTTCTAGTTCTGACATGCTATGATTCTATATGAAAGGGTTATTCTCTGAGTTCTTTCATTTATGTTTAAGAACATTAGCTGATAACATTTTTTTTCTGAGACATCTTGTGTACCTTTACCTTGCCTCACATTTTCCACCTGCAAAAGCGGTAGTTGAAGGTAGACGGTGGAGTTGGTCATTCTAGGTTTGGATTTCAGCCCCACTGCTTGTCGTTGGGCCTAGTTATTTAAATTCTGTGGGCCTCAGTTACCTCATCTGTTGAATGGGGATAGACAGAGAGTAGATGTGCAGATGAAAAGAGAGAAACATTTAGAAATATATAACTCTAAAGGCTAGAGTTTAATGTCCTGTAGGGCATAAACCAGTTTTATCTCTAACCTAGTGGACTTATTTCAGAATGTCTCTGTTTGTGGACTCTGAATACCCTGTTAACATCTTACTGGTTCCCTCATAAATTGATGTGTTGAATAAAATCTTTCACACGTGTTTCTATTTTTGTATGATAATCATCTTTTTAACTTTTTTTTTTTTTTTTTTGCGGTACATGGGCCTCTCACTGTTGTGGCCTCTCCCGTTGCGGAGCACAGGCTCCGGACACGCAGGCTCAGCAGCTATGGCTCACGGGCCCAGCCACTCCACGGCATGTGGGATCTTCCCGGACCGGGGCACGAACTCGTGTCCCCTGCATTGGCAGGCAGACTCTCAACCACTGTGCCACCAGGGAAGCCCTATTTTTACTTTTTGAAATTTACTCTTTAACAGGTCCTAACTAACTGCCTTAAGACACTTTTCTCAATAGAATGACAGTGGCAAAGCTTGCTTTGCTGAAAATGCTGATTAAGTTATTGAAAACTACAAAAAAAACACTGGGTTTCCATTTTTATACTTTCTGCCCCCTTCATCCTTATGTCAGTTAGCTAGCTGTGTCCTATGGGGGTGAGGGTAGAGAAAAATCCCTTGGAGGAGTTTTTAAGACACTGGAAAAAAAGAAGCAGGCAAGCAGTAAGATGAGCCTAGCAGAAAGAGATACTTTCATTATGGCCTTTACATTTATGACTAGCAAGATAATGAAGGAAGGTAATTCTGAAACCTTTCTGTCAGTTTTAATGGGCCCTCAAGCACTGAGAAAGATAACAGTCAATGGATGGTGTCCATAAGAATTTTTTTCTCCTTCTCCCCTGACAGCCACTGACAGGATCATTTTGTATTTGCAACTGCTGTCATTGAAGCATGGAGAAAAGGCCCTGTAAGGCCAGGAGGATGAGGGTGACTTCCCCACAAGGATCTCTATTGTCATCACTATGGCAATAATAGTTACTATAATTTTCATTCTGCTTTTCTATACAGTGTCTACTTTGTGGAGCTCAAGGCGATGGGATTTGGGTTACATGAAATCACGCTAGCATAAAATCATGCTTTGAAATCTTGAAAGAGTATTTTAGAAAACTGCAAAGAGAACCTATGCAACAAAATAAAAATAATTACCAATGCAGGTCATTGACTAATACAATTATTTATGCGATGCTGATAGCTTTACAGAGGCTTTCGGATACAGTGTCAGTTTGACAGTCGTTTGTTTGTCTCTGTTTGGATTGTTAGACCACTGCCAGTTTTTCTACCCAGGGACATGGCTTATCATTTAGGTGTAAAAATGTAAGTTAATTGCCAACCAACTCTCAGTCGTTGTCTGGTAGTTTCTCTTTATTATCCGCAATATGGACAGGAACCATGCCTTCTATTTCATTTATGCGCACTGCACTCTGCATAGAGTAAAATATCAGTGTTATTAGCTCTCAAACAGACAGCTTTAGAGACATCTAACACTAATTCTGCGTAAAGAGCCTCCGTGAATGAAGTAGGATAGGGTGCTCACCGGTGATCTCAGGGCGGGATGAAAAATATCTAAGAGGGGCCTCGAGGTTGAGAGAAAACAGTTGAACACAAAAAAGGGGGTGCAGAGAAAAGTGAAAAACGAGCAAGACAAGCAAAAAAAAACAAAGCCAGCGATCACACACACACACACACACACACACACACACACACACACACACAC